CCTTTCTAGGCGGTTTGTTATTATTCTCATAAACAGTTTGTATATCTGAGACAGGAGGCTTATGAATCTATAGTTTTCAAGAATTGATGGGTCTTCTTTTTTGTATATCAGAATGACAATGGCAGTCTCCCAGTCGTGTGGTATTTTGCCCTCTGTTGGACATTTATTGAGAAGCATTTTCAGTCGTTTTACAAGGTATTCTCCTGGCTCCTTCAGCATTTCTGCTGGTATATCATCCATTCATCGGGCTTTTCCATTGTTTAATTGGCTTACTTGGCTTAGTGTGTCGTATAGTTCCTTATGAAAATTTTCCTATAATGTTTCCTTGTTTGTCCATCAGATTTGTAATTTCTCTTTTTGTGCGTTCTTCCTTTTGAAAACATTTAAGCCTTTTTGTTGTTCTATTCAAATTTTTGATTTGTGCTTCTTGGTAGTTTGTTTTGTCATTTTTCTGGCTATTTTGTTAGTCTCTCTGTATTCAAGTGTATCTATTTTTTCCTTGTTTCATGAGTTCCCTTCTCCAACATTTGTTTTGTTTCTTTGCTAAATTTTTCTGGCATAAACCCTTCGGTTTCATGATATTTTTTGTTGTTTCTTTTATTGTTTCCGTTATTCTTTTATTAATTTGATTTATGTCTTCGTGGGGTTTTATGGGGCCTTTCTCCAGGTTTTGTGGGAATTCTGTTTTTTATTTTTTACTGCTATACGTGCTTAATTTCTTTTGGGGAAGGTTGAATTTCTTTGCTCTTCCTAGTCTGCCATTTATGGCTATTTTATATCTTATCATTCTATGATAGCTTCCAGTCGTGAATGAGCCTAAGCCGTCTACCTACATCTTATATAATGTGTTTTTGATGTGTCAGTATAAAGTTTATTTCGTTTTTTGTCTTTCCATCTGGGCTTGTCCATGTCCATTTTTTGTTAGGTTTCTTTCTGAAGAATGTGTTCATCGCAAAGAGTTGCTCTCTTTTCAAAATATTAATAAGCTTGTTATATATATATATATATATATATATATATATATATATATATATATATATATATATATATATATATATATATATACATGCCGTTTTAGAACGTCTTTCTTCGTTGTCCGACACCTAATTTCCATCCTCTTCTATCGTCGCAATCCTCTGATGAGAGATTTCTTTCACTCATGGACTTTTGTATGGTCTTTTGCCATTCCAGTTTTGGTCTTCCTCGTTTTCTTCTACCTGTTGCCAGTGCATCATTTTTCTGGGCCACCTGTCATTTGGCATTCATTCTACGTGTCCGTACCAGGTAAGTTGTTTCTTTTCAATGTCCTGGACTATCGTACCTTCTATACCCATTTGTTTTTTTATATTGTCGTTCCTTATTCTGTCTCTTCGTGAGATTCGCATGGATCTTCTAATAGCATCCATGTCAACTGCTTCCACTTTTTTCTTTGGTCTGTCTGTAATTCTCCAAGTCTCGGCTCCATATAGAAGGCTGCTCTTTATCATTGTCTCGCATATATTAAATTTTCTCTTCTTTGTAATTTCCTTGCTCCATAATATTCCATCCATTTACGCATCCTATTACTTTTTTAGCTTTAACTATTCGCTTTTATATTTCTTTCACGTCTGTTCCGGTGTTGTCGAATGTGATACCTAGACACTCATATTTTTGACATTGCAGAATTTCCTGACCATGGTCCACTTCCAAGTTTCCGTTCTGGTTGCCTACACATAGATATTTTGTTTCATTTATATTAACTCTCAGGCCCCATTCTTGATACTCTTCTATCAGCTTTCTAATCATATATTGCGTGTCCTCTTTGTCACTGGCCACTATGACCTGATCATCTGCAAACTGAAGAGTAAACAGGCACCTATCATTTATCTCTATACTCATTCCATGGATCTTCCTCTTCCAATTTTTCAGTGCTACTGCTACGTATATTTTAAAAAGCGTAGGAGAGATACAACATCCTTGACGTAGTCCTTTATTTACTATAAATGTGTCTGTGAGTTTTTTACCTATCTTAATTCTCGATTTTGAGTCTTTATATAGTTCTTTAAGTGGGAAGGACGAACAATAGCTTAGTTGTAGGACCATTTGGAGAAGAAATAATCAATGATAATAGCCAAAGGCTCATACATCTCTGTGAGACCCACAATCTTAGAATAAATAATGGATTTTTCAAACACAAAGATATTCACCGCTACACATGGATACAAAATACCCGTAACCTGAAAACTATTATTGACTATGTAATAAGCAAACGAAAAACAAACAGAGATAAACGACGTAAGAGTCCTAAGAGGAATAACTTGCGGGTCAGATCATTTTTTAGTAAGAGCCAAAATAAAGTTGCAATTCAGGAAAACGAACAAGAACCCAGAGGAACAAAACATCAATGCCATATTAACGGACACAGTGGATACAACAAATTATAATTTTGACAGTTTTAGAGATGACAGCACTGTATTTCTATATCAGAGGCGACTCGATAGCAAACTATTGAACCCTGAAGAATGTACCTTCAATAAACTCTATCAGAATATTATAAGGAGTCTAATAGAAGCCACCCAAGAAGCAATAGGAACGAAGGAAAAAAATACCAACAAGAAATACTGGTGGAACGAGGAGATAGAGCTATTAGTCCAACAGAAGAAGCAAAAATATCTGAAATGGCTAACAACAAAAAATGAACAAGACCTTGAAGTTTATAAAGGCACAAAAAGACAATTAAGAACGTGCATCACTATAGCTCAGAACGAGTCATGGAATAAGGAATGTGAAGAAATTAACACCTACATAGGAGGAAGGAAATGCTCAGAGGTATGGAGATTTATATCAAATGTCAAAAACCCAGGAAAAGACAGAGCTAATATCCAGAATATTAAACCAGAGCAATTAGACTGTGAGATAGGGCCTTTTTAGTGGAGTCATTTTTTTTTGTCTGGCATTTTGAGGGCTGAATGTGGCTACTAAGCTGATGAGAATATGGGTGGTTTTAATCCCTGCCTCCCGTTCGAAAATTTGCAGAAGAAAAAAATTGATTTACATGAGGATTTTTTTTTTAATGATCTCAAATTTTTTGGCTTCTAAATAAAAGATTGACATTGATAAATAATTCACCCATAAAAAATACCAGATCTTTTCAATAGCTGAAAAAGTGGGGATGAGTGTCAAGTTCCAAGAGAAAAGAAAAGAACCTTCCGCGTTTACTTTTTGTCTGGTAATCGAGAGAATGAAAGGTTTTGTTATGAAAATATCGCTGAAAAATCGCCAGACGGTAATCCCAGTTCGAAGTCGAGTTTTCCGGCGAAACATTCTGTTGACATTTCGAACAGGTGGCAAGCACTAAAACTACCTATATTCTCATCAGCTAACTAGCCACATTCATCCCTCAAAATGCCAGACAAAAAAAAATGACTCCACTAAACAGGCCCTATCTCACGGTCTAAATGGGTAGAACATTACAAGGGTCTATTACAAGAAAGTAGACCGGAATATTATATATTAGATTCTCCAAGACATATTGAAGTATACATGGAGAAGTAGTTGAGATATCTGAAGAAACAGTACAAAAGGCTGTTAAGAATCTTAAGTCAGGTAAAGCTAGCGGCCCAGAAGGGATATACTCAGAAATGCTGAAATGGGGAACTGAGAAGCTCTTTAAAGGTCTAACATGTATTATCAATAAATGCCGAAATGGACATCCTGTTCCACAAGACTGGAAAACGGCTTTTATATCATCCATAAACATTAATAAGCTGGTTGCCTTTTTCATTTCTTATACCATGTTCAAGTTTGTCACTATAGCATGAGTCGGTGTCATCTTGGCCTATCTTTGCATTTACATCTCCCATAACTAGTGTGTACTTTGTTTTGTTCTCATGCAGACACTGTGTTACCTCTTTATAAAGTTCCTCTAGCTCTTGGTCCTCGTGGTCGGATGTTGGTGTGTAAATTTGACTTTGATTGTTGTAATCTTGTTGATTTTCAATGTTATGTATTGTTAAGCAGTCCCGTGTATCAGTGATGTAGTACGAAACAAATCCCTACCATCGACAAAGATGCATGGGGTTTGACAAATTTCCTGGCGTCTGTGACTAGCCTTGGCTGCGGAAATAGAGGCCGACGAAAAATAATTGAATAAAAGAAAAAATACAGATATGCATCAGGTAGTGAGTTATAGGCCACAATATTCATTTAAAGAATATATGTCACTGTTGTATTGGTTGGACGGAGAACTTATATACGGATTGAAAAAAATGCCATAAACTAAAAACGTGAAAAAAGCAAAATAGACTGGAACTATTTTTAAAAGTACAAGAAAGAAATCAAGACTGTAAAGACCGAAAGAGAAATATAGCAGATGCTGGATTTAAAAATATACAATCAAAGAATACTTATTAAATAAATTAGTGTTCCTACCTACTTATGTATAAGTATAAAAATAGAAGCAAAGTTCAAAAGTGAAGTGTACCTACATACTCGATCACAGATCAAAAAGTTAAAACTTTCAAACTGATAGTGGATAGTCATATTTGTCCTGGATTAAAAAAGATTCCTAATAATTGTCTCAAGTATCCGTTATAACGCACGAGTCGCGCTAATTACATTTCACCTGATTAAATCAGTAATTGAATAGCTTTGTGTATGGGAGAGCTTATTCGCGTGTCGCTAATCGTCACAGCGGGATAACAAAATTCTTGTTTACTATTTGACATATGATTAAGCTCCAATGTCGATTAAATAATAAAATTCATGATTTATTATTATTATTTTCCCAATATGGTTGTTGTCTCAATCAGGTAGAGTTATGGCTGGATTTTTTATGAGCTATTGTTGCTTAAAGTTCAAATTTAAAAAAATATATACAGTGTGTCCACTTAATATATCTTTGGCCAATTACAATAATGAATTTTGGTCAATTCTCACCTCCAAACTGAATTTTGCACCTAATTCTAAAAAAAAAATGAGCTGAACCTTTAAAATCATATTTATTCTTCTTTTTTTTTCAGTCGGAATGTGGCATACAATGTTACCAATAGCCGCTCTAGCGGCCGTAGTATCTGGAATACCATGCGAAGAAGCACGTTTGAAGTGCGCGTATAGGAAAGGTTGCGGTACTGCACTGCAAAATTATCTGGTGGGCTGTTCTGGAGTTCTGCAAAGTCCAGAAGAAGCCCTGTATTGTCCTCAAGTGTGCGAATATTCCTTGATTGCTTTAGTATCGACTGAAGAAGGAAAAGCGCTGATGGAAGTAAGTAATAACAACTTGTATAGTTTAGGATAATAATTTGAGTTTAGTTGAGGATATTCTTTCGATTTGTTCTATACAGGACAGCGTTTTTGTTTCCAGTGTTAAAAAACTTGTCTAAGTTATATAAACCCAATAGTTTCAATTCTGTTTATGTAAATAACGCTAGAAAATGATTGATTCCTCGTTCTTTTTTTCTCAAAAACCGCTCGATTTTAGTGAATACACTACGCGTCGATTATTATTGAAGTGGATGATTCACATATCTGGAAATAACTCAACATGAAAATGACGCATTTTTATGTAATAATATTTAATTTAATAAATAGGTAATATTAAATATACCAAATTCACACAATCTTTATTTGGTTTATGAATATCTGAACAGATAGGTAGATAAAATTTGCAAATCTCTCTGTGGGAATAAACAAGAAAGATATTATCTCCTTCTTTTGCGCACAAAGTATTGTTATTTGCTTTGCAGTTATTTCGAATTTATTTGAATTGTGAATGCAATGGTACAAATTTCTGTGTTTCAATTTTTATTTGAACAATCTTTATATTTCCAGTGAATCAATAAACAAGCATAATTTTTCAGAGATGAGTTTTCATTCATTTATATCCAGTAGTTATGGTATCTTGGGCCTCAGTTTTGGAGGAAAATTATAATCTATTTTCCCATTCTCATTTCCTGTCATCTGACCTCGCGTTGTTGCCCATTTGTACACCAATACCTATAATTATCATCATGCAGATTACTATTAAGTATTATTATAGTCAGGATTTTGTTGACCTTCTGTCAGATTCTGAGTTTTCTATGATGATTTTCTGAAGTCAGTCACGCAAATTTGAAGAAGTAATGTTGTCAGCTATGTGCTGTGTTGTTGCTAGGGGGGCTTATTACAGAGATGGACTTTGTTGTGGTAATCCCTTCTGAATTTTTTACTTGAGTACCTAACCTAATTTTTTAAAGCGGTACCATGACTTACTTAAATCGTTTGTATGTTAAATCTTTTTCTAAAAAAATTTGCCCAGAAGATGGATTATTTCTTGCATCGCATTGAAAGTTCACAACATTGATTGGACCATTCCATTTTCAATTTCTTGGGCTTCGTCGTAAAACTTGGATTTTTTACCATTTCTAAAGTTCCTTCCACAATCCACGGTGACTGGAAATTTATAGCGGAGTATATTCCAAGACTGCATGTTGGAAAATTACTCCGTAGTTCTCCATGATGCATGATTAAATGAGCACACTCACCAATCATCAACCACATTTTTGTGCCCTGATAACTTCCTTTCTCATCGCTGGCTAGGAGATATAGAGAATACAAAAATATGGCAAGTGTCAGAGTTTTCTTCATATTATCTTTCAGTATCAGTTTTTGTGCATGGTTTTTTAACATACCTAAGTTGGCATGGCAGCTTACCAAGCAAGTTATAACATGGAAATTATATTTTCTCTTCTTTTCTCCATCAATGACAACTCTGCTAGCTGTAGAAGAGGAGGAACATATGCTTGCCTGAAATGGATTTTCAAAGCCATAGTAAGAAAACCCTCTTAAGTTTCAAAAATAAGTATAATTATGTAATTCTAGGAACTTGCATCCTGTTTCAGGGTTTTCTTTTCCGAGTAGACAAGTATTAAGTTTAGTTTACAAATACAAGGTGTCTGACATTTGTTGTGGTTTATCAGTAGTCAGAGAAACTTATTAGATTAATTATTGCTGGGATCTTATTACCTACTGTTCCAGCTATTCTGCAGGACTCTTTACCGTTGCAGCCTGTAGGATTCTGATCTAGTTAATTTAGGGCGGCAGTTTCCAGGTTTTTGCTTCAATTACCTCGAATAAATTTTGATAGATTTCTTAAAATTGAACCAATTTCCAAAGTTTGTGCAAGGTGTTCCGATTTAGAGAGTGGTGCTTTGATTTTTAGAAGGAATGAGGCTCAGCTTGTAGATTGATTGTGATGGTTGGAGTGTGTCGGTAATGGGCCTTTTCGCGCTGCGACCTAATTACATCTATTGTGTCTCCCCTTATATCTATTGGGTTTCCAGATTAGCAGCACAGCCAATAATGTTTCTGGGATTGGCTTCTTTCATATCCACAGCCGTTAAGTAGGTCTGTCCCAGATGGATGAGTCTTCTTTGGCACAATGCCTCACAGTTGCAAAGTATGTGTTCCGTAGACTCGGAGGCTTCTTCACAGAAGCGGCATAGGTCTGATTCTGTTTTGTCCATCTTTTTTAGGGGGTAACCCAGTTAAGTTCTTCAAAATTTTATAGAGGGCGCGAGTGAACTTGGAGTGCTTTGAATTTTGGCGGTAAATGTCAATAGTTTCAAACTGTTTTAATCTTGTTTTAATAAGTAGAAGGAAAGATATGAACAATGAACAGTGAATACGTTGAAATATCTTCCAAAACGTTCAGTGGCCCTTTAAAGAATATTTTTAAAAGTGTCAGCGTCAGCTTGTCTTGAAACCACACATCAAATTTGACTTTCGAAGTTAAAATTACATTCGGATCATTCACGCGTCAAAATTTAAAGAGCTCCAAGTACAAGAGCGCCCTCTCCAACTCAACTGTCAATATTATATGCCATTGTTTCGCCTGTCTAAAGGTGCGTTTTCACGCTCATGCAATTTGCACAAATAAAGCTGAGTTGGTGTCTTCGTTTTTATGCTCAGTTTAAATTGCACAAATTTTTCCACCACCCGTCACTAGACAGTAGTCCTACACGTATGGACATATATTTCATCTTCCCCGGCACCAGATCTCTCGGAAACAAGAACTTTTTTGAATTCTTTTCTATAGGTGGTTCTCATAGAATTAAAACTGCTTGCACTTTTATCCACGGTCTGCATTTTTTCAATAAGAATTTCATTGGCTTTCCAAAGACAAGAAAATGAATTTATACATATATGTAGTTCAATGAACTCTATATTATAAATTCCTTTTCTTTTTTTGACATTTTTAACAAATATAAATACAGAGGAACAAAATAACAGAGAATCACCGAAAAAATAAAAGCCAATTGCAAATTGCAAGTTGAGACGAGAAATTGGCTGCTTCACGCATGCGGACTATGGGGCGCTTGCTTTATAAAGTTGGAGTGTCGTTTACACGTTCATGCATTTGCGCCAACCACAAGCAAATTATCAGTCCGCTCCAGATTTACTCAAGTCAAACTTTTTGGCTTGCGCAAGCAAACAATTTTGGTTTTCACGCTCATGTAATTTGTGCAAATCATGCATGCACAAATCAATTTGCGCAAATTGCATGAGCGTGAAAACGCACCTTTATTCTTGGAAGCGTGTTCCAGCGAAAGCATTGTTGAGCCTTTATCCAATTTTGGACTTCCCCTATTATATGGCTTTTCGTAATGCCCAAAGAAAGGTTCTAGTTCAAGGAACGGTGTTGCAGCTCCTTGTCTTGCAAGTTGGTCCGCAATTTCATTCCCCTCGAGTCCTTGGTGACCTAATACCCGTGACAGGGTGACTCTATTGCAAGACGCCAGTTGCTTTAGGAGTTGTTGGCAGTCCCATACCAGTCTGGACTTAGTGACAGAGCTACTCAGAGCTCTTAGTGCTGCCTGGCTATCGGAATTGATATAGATCTTCGCTCTTCACAGGTATCTTTCGAGACGCTTTCTAGCGCAAAACTTTATTGCGAATATTTCCGCTTGAAATATGATTGGGTTTTCTCCTAGGGCTATTGATAGTCATCAAAGTGAGCCGTATACCCTTGCTCCAGTCCCTTGCTCTGTTTCCGATACGTCTGTATACCGGACAGATGACCTGTTCAGGAATACAGGTATGATATTTTCTTCTTTGCGGCCTTCAATAGTCATATTAGAGGAGTGTTTAAATTCGTACCGGTGTTGCATGTAGTCAACTAGTTTTGTCTTCACATTTATACATTCTTTCATAATGCTCATGTGATCGACAAAGTCCTCTTCCTTTAGTTTTAGGAACTGCATTATTCCCATGTAGGCCTCTTTCCTCACTATTATATCTAGTGGGGGGAGGCCCAACATGCCCACCAGTGCGGCGGTTGGACAGGTGTTCATTGCTCCTGTGATTCCGAGACATGCATAGCTTTGTACAGTTGCCAATCGGTTTTCCGCTATCTGTTGTTTACTTTTGGCCACCATACTATAGCAGCGTACGTGACCATGGGTCTTATGACCATTGTAAACAGCCAGTAGATCATTTTTGACTCCAGTACCTATGTGGCTATTGCCCAGTCGGTTACTCTTTCAAGATGTTTATTTGTATCCCATTTACGGTTGGGGCTGTTAGACTTATGGCCGGTATTATAAAACACTGAACCGATGGTTGAGATTCAACCTTCGGTTGACTCCATACAAATTGATAGGATTCAACCGAAGGTTGAAACTCAACCATCGGTTCAGTGTTTTATAATACCGGCCCTTAGCCTCCTTTTCCTCGTAAAAGGTACAATTATGGTTTTGTTGGAGTTGACGCTTAAACGTTCCTGTAGACACCATGTGATAATGACATTTAGGGTATTTTGCATGAGGTCACTAATGATCCTGTCGTGTTTACACCCAATGATGACTTCGAGGTTGTCAGTTGTCAGCATATCCTAGGACTCCTTTGGTGCTTTGCATCTACTACCAGTGACCATAGCAGTGGGGACAGTACACCCCCTTGGGAGCATCCCTTGACTGCTGAGACCGTTGTAGAGTCACTTCCAATAGTTGCTTTGATTTTTCTATTCTCAAGCATGGCTTCAATCCATGCAATTGTAGTTTCGCCAAAGCCTTTATTTCTAACCGCTCTTTTTATGGATTCATGTGGGGTGTTATTGAAAGCTCCCTCTATATCAATGAATGCGCATATAGTGGTTTCTTCACTTGACGAGTGTGCCGTTTCAATCTTAGTGACAAGACTGGGTAGGGCTGATAGGCAAATTGATTCTTATGGAGCAGGCTTTCCATTAGTAATTCACTCTGATGTGTAGATGATTGATCTCCATAG